TCTACCGTGAAAAAAAAAACGATTTTTTAACTGCTAAAATGATTGCTAAGATTTCCTTTTCAATCTGACAAAAGAGTCCTTGAAGCATGCACGATTGGTTTTGTTGAACCATCTTCGTATTTGTGAAGTACCACTGCTCCGATTCCATATTCACTAGCATCAGAAGCTACAACTATTTCTTTTTCTAGATCATAGTGCGCCAATACTAAATCAATCCGTTAACAGTTTCTAATTTTTTGAAAAGTTTTTTCACAGTCTTTGGACCAACACCATTTAATCCCCTTTTTCAACAATTTGTTTAATGGTGCTCTTAATTCATACATTCTTGGAATGTATATTGCATAGTATTGTGCCAAACCTAAAAATGATTGCAATTTTGCGAACCCTAATTTTGCCATGTTATCTGGGGCAGGCATATTTCGTATGGCTTCAGTCCTCCGTGGATCTGGTTTTCTGCATTCTTTATCCACAATCTGCCCAAAATACTTAATTTTTTCCATAAAAAACTCACATTTTTCGGGGTTCACTTTGAATCTGAATTCTTCTATTCTCTTGAAGATAGCCTTTATGATTTTTATATTCATCCATATTTTTACTTTTCACAAAAATGTCATCCAGATAAGCAATGGCAAATTCTAACCCTGCAAGCATTGTATCCATGATTTGTTGAAAAAGTGAGAGTGCAACCTTTAAACCAAAAGGAAATCAGTTTAGTTTAAATAATCATTTATGTCTGTTGCCAGATACTTGGAATACTCTTCGTTAACTTTGACTTGCAAGTATGCATCTGACAAATCTATTTTAGAGTATATTTTACACACATTTAATTTTGAGAAAATGTCCTCGGGTCAGGGAAGTGGGTAACTGAGGTCTTTTAGACAGTCATTTAAACCTATCGAAAAACCTGCACATACTCTAATTCTATTATTATTTTTTTTTAAACATGCGATGCCCAATCTGAGTGATCCACTCTCGAAATAACAGCTAATTTTTACAATCTTTCTAGTTCTTCATTAATAGCATCTAATGAAGAAAATGGAACATTCCTTTTAGGTCTGAAAATCAGCGTAACATTTTCTTTAATTTCAAATTTTACCTCCATTTTCAAACACATACCCAATCCTTCAGAGAAAAGTCTGGGAAATTCTTCATTCAAATCGTGTATGAATTTTTCTGTTTATGGACAATTCCCATAAATTAAATAGCACGATCCAAACTATGCTGAAAATGCAGGAGTTGTTCCCTTTATGTATGTAGACTTTTGACCTGAAAGTCTTATCACGAAACGAAATGTTACACTTAGTTCACCCCTAAATTTGAGTGTTTTTCCTGCAATACCTCTGGCAATTTTGTTTGTGTCAGTCAATTTCAGTCAACCTATTTTCCTCCATATCTATTCGTCAATTATACTAATATTGGAACCTGAATCCAAGAGAAATGTTACTGTATATCCATTTATACGTGCATCAACATATTTTAGTTTCTCGTCATTCTCAAATTCCTTTCTGGAGAGAATCACATTCACTTTTTCACTGATCTTTTTCTTTCTTTTATAGCACTGGAAACCTTTACGTCCCTTATGGCCACATTCAAAACATACTTTGTTTTTATAACAGCAATTATTTTTTGTGTGATTAAATCCTCCGGAACATTCACATTTCTCTTTGTTCTTCATGTTTGGGATCTTATTTGCTTTTACTTGCTGAACTTTGAAAACATTCTTTTCCTCTATCCGAGTATTATTTTGTTTTACGTTAATAACATGCTGGCACTCTTCAGTAACTTTTTGCAAAGTAATCTCATTGTCTTTTTCAATCATAGTAAGAATTCACGACCTGATATCCTTGTCCTTGGGAGCTGTTAGTCCCTGAACAAATATTAGACATTTGAATAAATCTTTCGTATCATCTGAAATATACCAGGAAGGTAATCCCATTGTCCGGGTCATAATGAAATTCTGTTAACAAATTTGCAATACCTTCAGCAGAAAAAAAAATATTTTTTTGTTCTCTGGTTTTCATTATTAATTTTTCAAAAAGTTGTGACTGTTGTTGTTGGTTTTGCAACTGTTGTATTTGCTGTTGTTGAACACTAGTGCACAACAGTTTTGTAAGCTCTGTTAATTGTTCCATACTTTAACTCAACAAGTCCTTCAGAACAACGAACGATAGACAAGAAAAAATAAAAATAAAAAATACACAACCTTCGCTTTTTGCCTTCCAATAAACTCAAATTACTTGGGTAAAAAACACTTTTGGATTTTTGGGGTTTTTTTTTTATGTTAATGGCCTGGGTTCCAATCTGTGCTATGAATTGTTACATTATTTTTTTTTTAAACAAAGAATACAACAAAAATATTCTTACTTTTAAAAAATTTTAAGTGATAAATCTTGTAAAATGTTTCAATATCCTAAGGTGTTGTCTTACTTCAAAACTCCAGTAAACCAAACGTATAGACGACAAATACTTTTCTTCTTGTGAATTTGTTTCGGGGTCACTAACATTTAGTGTTTTTGTATGTGAATTCGATTCAACAATCCTCGTCGCCACTGTTATATTCCATCTAATAGGAATATATACTTGAAAAACAAGGGGAATAAATACAAACATGGTTTATTGTAAAAACCATTAGAATAAGAATAAAGGAAATGGTTGTGCACAAGGTCGTCGCAAGTCAATCCAGTAGTGAGTTCTACTATTGGAAAGTCAGTAGTTCTCATGTCAGTCTGAGTCATACTCAACAGATCCCAGCTAGACTCCCATGGTCCGTTGACTTACATCTATGTAGTTACTACTTATAGTGTAGTCACTCATGGGAGTGACAGGTTATTCCATTACATCAAATGATGATAAAAAAAACTTTTTGGCATGACACAGTGAACCAACCCTCATTGTAGCAATTGACTTGATATAGTCACTCAAATTTATATCAGTGGAAAACGTTGAGGTCACTTAAAAAGATTTTAAACAATGTAACTGCAAGACTTGGCATTTCTTGACATGCTAGTCTCTCATTATGTATTGGCAGAAGTGGATACAAATTTATTGTTGAAAGATAGCAGAAGGAAGTTCCACAAGTGAGAAGTGCGAGAGAAGAAACTGTTAGCATAGAACTTACAGCTACATTCAGTCATTTTAACTGCAAAATGATGTGACCTTGCTGCCAATCTAATATTGTGCTTAAATTCATAAAGTCAGGGTACCATAGAGGAAAGTTCATCCGAACAATTACCATGAAAGAATTTATAGAAAAGGCACATGGAAGCTACATTATGGAAATGGGAAAGTGACTGAAACCAAGATGCCAGATCAGAACTAGTAACATTGCTGATTCTTTGGATTTTATCAAGAATCTTTAAATATGTAGCTGCAACATTGGACCATAAGTAGCAGCAGTATTCAAAACAAGGACAAATGATAGTCTTATAAATAAGTACAAGAGAGTTGGGTGAAAAAATTGTCTTCTTGCTTCTCAGTCAACTTTGATCTTCAAAAATTTAAATGCAATGTCAATTATTATCTTCTATCTTTATAATTGGTGTTCTTTACTGTTTTAATAGCATATTTTTCTTATATTCTCTAATAGTCAATAACGCCTTGCATCTTAGTGGCTTTATTGTCTTGCTTGGGATGAAATGATTAAAAAAAAACTATTGCAAGACAAGCAGCAACAAGTGGCATCAAATCAGCAGTGGTCCTAATACTACAGAAATTCTTGGCCCAATAGACAAGCTACAAAAATGTTTGATATGGAAAAAAAAATAAATGGTTAAGAATTACTAAATAATAAAGAACAAAATTTCTTTATTATTAGAAAATTCATTTTACAAAATGGATGCCTTAATGGATTCTTTACATTAAAAACAAAACATTCCCCAAATTTTTTCTTCAAAATGCCAAATAAAAAGTAAAGTTGAAATTTTAAGTTTCTTATATTCATTCAAATGATTTTTGTTAGCATCTGGTTTTTCCTTTTTTTTTTTTGTAAAAATAGCTAAATTTATTTTCTGGCTTTAATTCTTAATACATACACTACAGTTCAAAAGTTTGTAACCACCCCACAGAATTAACATGGGATAAACTTAACAGAAGAGTGAAAAAAAAATGAAAAAGTGCTCTTAAAGTCATTGAAAAAAGAATGGAATCAATTATCAAAATGATATTTTGAGAAACTTTTGCAACAAATGCCAAAAATTTGTGCTACTGCAATGAAGCCTAAAAGAGGATATTTTGATGAGAGCAAAATTTAATCATAAAATGCTTTTTTTTCTTTTTGTCATAATAAATTTTTTAATAAAAAATCATGTCTCCCTTTTTTTTTTCAACCATGTATAATAATTTTCTATTATTTTAAGTACAAAACATCTACTTTTTGGGCCAATTTAAAAAATTACCAGGGGTGGCCTCAAACTTTTGAACACTAATGTATATCCAAGCAAAATATAACCAATTGAAAAACAATATTATTGAAACGAAAAAGAAAATAATCAGTTTTCACTTGACTTTCTTTGAAAATAAATAGTATCCTCTGTTGAGGAATTGAGCAAAGAACAATAAACTTCAAACCTGTTATCTTTTGAGTTAGTTGGCATGACTTTCTTTCAAAGCTGACAAATATTCACCATTTGTCACCATATTCAGACAAGACTGAAGCCTGTTACCAACACAAAAAATAAACTCTAGGTTGACATCTTATTTTGAATGAAAGATCCTTTCTTCCTCAAACAAGGTCCACTAAATGGACAACATCCAAATCAATCTTAGGTTTGTTGTTTTATGGCAAAATGAAAAAAAAACCTATCTATTTTGTTTGAGTCATACTCTGCTGAAAATCTGCTGATTTAGACACCATATCAAATATTAATACAATAAATAAACACACAAGCAATGAATGAGATGGAAAATGAAGACAAAAAAAACAATACACACTCAGACACAAAACACTGAAGGTATAATATGTATAATATATATATAAATATATAGATATATATAACACATACTTAAGAGTCTGGGGACACTCCTTTTCATGTAAGGCTGCCGCACTATGGAACTGCCTAGCAGTATATCTAAGAGAGAGAGAGAGATAAAAGACGCCAATAAGGACAAATGACAATATCAGTTTTTGTAATTGTGAGATGATGATATAAAAAAGTGGAGGAAAAAAATGCAATTATTAAAAGAAAAACATGATAAAAGAATACTTCTAAAATCAAAAACAAAACAATGCAAAAACAGGAAGTGAAAATATATAAAAAATAACAAAAATAAAAAAAAACTTGGAGGAGAGACAATTAGAAAACAAGAATAATTTACTATTAGTAAATTGGCTCTGTTGGGGAGGTTCGGGTTATGGCAACAATTCATTACTTGAGGCAGGTTTTTAATAAAAAGAAATGTTAGGAAAAAGAAACATAAAACAGTTGTAAGATAAAAAATAGTTTGTTTTTTTTTTAAGATGGTGATATTGAAAAAAAGTTCATTTAATCAGGTCATCTTCATCTTTACAAGAAAATGACTTACCCCCAAAGATAAAGAGAATATTTAACATCTCAAATATGAAAACTTGATAGTAATGCTAACATTTTTACACTATTTATTAATAAAAAAAAATAAAAGGAAAATTATGGCTTTAACCTACAAAATTATGGCAAAGCAAAAAGAAAAAAATGACAGACTTTTTATTTACCTAGTTTTATGTCTGGGAATTTTAATATTTTCTTTAAAAACTTCATACAAAAATTAAATTTGCCTGATTTTTGTAAAAAAATAAAGCTAACAAAAACAGCAATAAGTAATGAGGAAGAAACACTTTTAATTTTTTGTAAAGAGAGCAAAAATTATTGGGATTTATTAGATGCAATCTGAAATTCTTTAATTAACTTCTCTGACAAAAATAGGAATCATTACATTGCTCAGTATTCAAAATTGATGCCAAAATAATTCACAGTTAATATACAGACAGAGTGTGGCAGAAATACTTCCCACATAATAGTAAAACATTAGTGGCCACAGTGTCTTCATCTAATGTCTTACCATTATGTGCAAAGTATAAATGATGAGTAGTTCTGCTGCACCATGTACATTGGCAAAAAAGAAAAATACTGTCCTTTCCCGGCTTCCTCCCATTTTTAGGCACTTCATGAACAAAGGATTTATAAAGTCAAAAAAATAAATTAAATCCATAAAATGAAGATTTCGTTAATTCTCTTTTTTTTGCATTAAAATGAAGAAGCAAAAAAAAAAAAAAACTCATTTTTTGTTTGTAAATAAAATACTTGCCACTGTTTTTTTTGTTTTTTACTTTTTTATTAACCACAAAAAAACCAAACAGCTGATGCTGACAAAAAATAACTTTACATCCGAAAAAAAGCAAAAGCCAAAAACAGAAAACAAAAAATCATCTGCACAAGATACAAAAATGCAAAAAATGAATCAAAATCATTCATTTGAAAAGAAAAAAAAAAAGAAAAAAAAAGAAATAAACTGAAAATAATAAACACAAACATGAAAATAAACACTCGCCATTCTTTACAAAAAGAAGGAACAAAAATAGATTAGATTTTTTTGTAAAAAAAAACAAACATTTATTTTAGAAAAAAAAATGTTAAAAGGTTGGGGGGGCTGTGGTTCCCTTTGCAGCCATTTTAACTCAAAGTTGCCTGGTCACAAAATGGGGTTTGGTTTTCAATATAATCGCTTATACATTTTGATCCCCGACTTTGTGGTCGTCTAATGCCATTTCTTCGGGTAACGAACAACTAGAGAGTAACAAATGCAGAAAAGCGATTGGAAAGGGGGGGGGGACGGAAAGGAGGGAATTAAATTTTTTTTTTAAATAAATAAACAAACGAGAATTATCGACATTTTCGATCTTTAATAAAGAAAATAGTTTGGAAGAAAAAATTGAAAGAAAAAGTTCGATTGTTATTTATTTTGTTTTCGGTTTTTTTTTCCTTCTTTTCTGCAAGGAGGAAGTTGATGGGTGGGGGGCAAATGCAACGAGTTTTGTTATTCAGAAGGAAGACGAGCGAGAAGACGGCCGGGGAGAGAAAACCGTTCATTATTATTAGTATTATTTCCTACGAAAGAAAAAGAAAAGAAATTATTTAATTGCACACACGAAGAAAGAAAGAAAAGAACAGACAGGACGGCCACAAAGTGGAGGATAAGTTTACCCTAAAAGCCAAGTTGGAAACTGATCCCTCATTAAATGGCCAGGCACAAAGGTGGGGAGGCTGTTTAAAATCCCGCATTTTTTTTTTTTGCTTTTAATTGGAATCAACGTTAATTAAAATTGATTAACTCTAACTAAAATAGTAATGGAGCTTGTCCGTTTACTTTTGCAGACTGAATTCTCGTTTCGTTTCGTTCACGTCGTTCCTTTCCCACATTTCGAGTTTTCATCAGAAGAACTACTGGCTACCCCCCCCACACACACACACACACATATATACCTTTTTTCTCTCTCGCATCTTCGTCCCTTATTTTAGCTTTTTTTTTTTTTCTTTACTATTATTAGAGTTAACTTTGGGGGGGACAATCAAATTAAATTAAAAGATACAATTATTAACAATTCAAAATAAAATAAACGTCGTTTTTGGAATTTGGTCACTGAATCCTTGATGGACCCATCGGTAACTAGGTCCCTGGGTCAGGATGACAAGAATTAGCAAACTATGAAGTTGCTCTTAAAATAAAAAAATATTTTAGAAGAATAGTTAAAAAAACAAAAAAAAAACAGTTCGGATTGAAGTCAGCTTGTGTGGATTTCAAGAAAAAGAAAACAGAGACGTTTGGTATTCATTCATATAAGCAAGCAAAATAAAGTTCGGGCGGGGGGGTAGAGTTTCAGTACTTAAATTAAAATTAAAAATTACACAAAAAACTGATTAAGGAAACATAATTGATTAAAACTACAAGTTCTTCATATACGTTTTCAATGCTGCACGTCTTTTAGCTTTGCAGTAAAATTCAAACAATAATTTCTGAAAGTATTTCCAACATTAATAATTTGAAAGTAAACACATTTTTACTCTTTTCAACCATATTTTTTCATATAATATTTTAATTTCAGTTTCCTAAGTGAAAATTTAAATCATTAGTTTTACAATGATGTTCCCATGTACAAGACACGAGAGCCACTCGAGTTATAGGATTACAAAGTAAGAGGAACACTTTATGTGGATATGTGGGGAAGATAACAGTTAACTAACACTAGACTTGAACAGGTTAAGATTTTAGTAATCAGCAAAGCATCTTAGGAGTTGGTTCCACAGAGCCTGGAAAATGAAGGCTGGGACAGATTTTGAAAGTTAACTGAAACTTAAATAAAATTGAGAAAATTAAAATATTTTTTCTAAAATAAAAACGTGTATCCAAATATTTTTTTGGGTCCCTCATAGATTGGTAATTACTTTCCATTATTAATTCCACCCTCCATTTTCAACAATCCGTAAACTATATATAGAATGCAAAAATAATATTATTTACTACCTTGATTATTTATTCCACTTTCCAAACTGTGATGTTACAGACTTCAAAAGGGATCATCAAGTGATTTACAAAGGTTATACAAGGTGTGTCTGAAAAGTAACGGGTCTGGGCATGCTAAGTGAACTATGGGCAAAAGAGGTATAAGCAGATTGTCTTATCATCTGACATAATATCTTGGGAGTATATAACTATAATCTTAGCTTTCTGTAGCCACTGCATTTTTTTTCACATGCTTTTGAGTCAAGACAAATCGTGACTGCTTCACCACAACAATGCACCTGCTCACTACTTTTTGAAATCATTTAAGACGGATATCTTGTGTCCAATTTCTCAGCTCAAAATAAAAATATTCTTTGCAAATTTGTATCTAAAATTCATAAGCAGATGAAAGAAGCCCAAAAGCAATTTGAAGTCTCAATTATGAGATGATGGGCGGTGTTGTTAGCAATAATCATATTAGCATGAAAATAATGAGCATGCAAGACAGAAAGAACAAACCCTGACGCTGTGGAGTTCTAAAACTACATGATCCTCTAATCTAAACAGGTGACCACTGAAAAAATTTCCAATAAAAAAGGCAAACTTGCTTTTGATTTCCTTTATCAAGACTGACAAGGGATATCGCAGCCATCCAAGATATTTTAAAAATGGTTAAAATGCACTCATTTCTCACCCTCTGTTGTCTACCATGGTGACTTCATTACAATGACTGGTGTTGGGACTGGGAAAAAGCACCAGTACAAAAGAGCCTTTGAATTTGTGGAAAGATGAACAATAGTCCTATAATTTTTATATAAATACTTGTTACAAAATAAAATCCTTGATTATACCTTGATAAAGTCCCTCAGAGGAGGAAACATATCAACTAAGTTTACCATTTGTTTTTTTCCTTTTACAGATATACTCTAGCTGAAATTTTTACAGATTTTATTATATATTAGATTTATTATATATTACGTTTCAAAAACAAGATATCTCCCCAAGTTTTATATGTAGAATTATCTAGATATTTTATTTGAAATATGCATATTTTGACCAGGGCATGTAAAATGTTCAAATTACTTCAGTTTCAGCAAAGACAGACACAAGATTTGAATCCCAGGCAAAAACTGACAAAAAGGGGTTTTCTGTTTCAGAGACCCCTGGTTTTCTGTATTTAGTCAACATTAAAAGCAGCTCTGAATTGGTCCCAGTGATAGAAATTTCAAATTAAAGAGCTTATCAGCAGAAATGATCAAGAGAAAATAACCGAGGAGGTTTGATTGATTGATTCATTTTCTACAGTTTATCAACTCTTTGCAGGTTATTTTATTTTATTTTTTAATATAATAATGGTTTAGTGATACAAGACTTACTAATTAACCCATAGCTTGGGGAAGAAGTGGTGTATTCATACATTTTCCAGGTGTATTTGCATATAAGTGAATATAACAAACCCAGTAGCAATTGGATCTAGGCTCTCTGTTTAACAATTCCAAGTAATTAACCACAAAGAAAAACAAATAACAAATTTGGATTCCAAAGATGCATAACTGCAATTTCTATTTTTATACCATTCTTTTCAGAAGCAGTT